TAAAAAATTATATTTTATTTTTATTCTAAGTCATATTGCAACTAAGAAAATAATTCCTATCTTGCAAATTTTCTGGCTCAATATGAAGGTTATTGGTGTATCATTCACTGTCTAGCCGATGAGTTCAAGCGGTGTGACCCTTTTTAGTCGACTATGTACTTGATCAACATCCATAAGTGGCAGCATCTCGGGGTTGTCATGCTGGAGTAATCTTGATTGATGATTGATTGCATACTTCTTTATTTCATCTTTGACTGTCGGCACGTTTAGATCTCGATGTAGATTATCATTACTCACGTACCATGGTGCATTTACAATAATTCGGAGGACCTTGTTTTGGAAAGTTTGGATAATTTTCAAATTGGATTCTTTGATACAGCCCCACAGCTGTATACCATAAGTCCAAACAGGCTTAAGAACCTGATTGTAGAGTAATAGTTTGTTTTGTGTATTAAGCTCAGAATGTCTTCCAAGAAGCCAATACATGTTTCTCAATTTAATGTTCAGCTCATTTTTCTTTTTTTTAACATGCTCTTTCCACTTTAATTTAGCATCCAGTGTCATACCAAGGTATTTTGCTTCGTTGCCCCATTAAGTAAGACACCAATTGGATCGCCCCTTCTGTTGGTGTAGTTTACGTGTACTGATTAACTTTCGTTGAGTTTGAGCCTCCACTTTTTCGTCCAATGAAACTTGCAATTTATTCGTAGCTTCGTAAACAGTTTTACCGGTCGCTTATATTGCCGTATCGTCTGCAAAAGTTGCTAAGAAAGTTTCTTCGCTTTGCGGGATATCTCTGGTGTAAAGCAAGTACAAAAGAACTCCCAGCACACTTCCCTGAGGCATCAGAGAGGTAGGACTTTAATATTTTTGGAAATGACTCCGGCAGGAATTCCCTTATTTTGAAGTTGAGGCCCTTGTGCCAAACCCTGTCAAAACGCCTGGGCTACGTACAAGAAGACAGTTTAGCAATATTCTTTGTTTTCAAGCGCATTTTTAATGACGTTCGTTAGCCTGTGCACTTGGTCGATAGTGAAATGTCTAGACCGAAATCCAAACTGATAGTCGGGGATGAAACCTCTATTTTGTATTATTGTTTTCAGGCGATTCCTTTCAAACAAACCTTTCAAATAAAACCCTTTCAAACAGCTTCGACAACACCGGTAGAAGTGATATAGCTCTATACGACTTGAACTCATTGGCAGGTTTTCCAGGCTTGGATACCATGATGATTTCTGCGACTTTCCAATGAGCTGGGACATGATTAAGCCTCAGCGACGCATTGACTTGTCGTAACCTGGGGTCTTGTTATTTTTTAAGAACTTTTTTTCAGCCTTGAGTTCAGCCATTTTAATTTTCGGAACTCGTACAGCGTCAATTGTGTTCGCCGAAGTTAAATTTTCTTCTGAGGTTTGTCTTGGGAGTGGTAAAAAATACCCTCAAGATAGTCTGCAAAGTTGTTCGCCTTTTCTGCATCGCTTACTATCCAGGAACCATCATCCTCTCTAATAGGGGGAACTTGATACTTAGGTTTCTTAATATTTTTAACAGCTTTCCACAAGGAGTAATTGTGGTCCTTGTCAGTCGATAAGTTATCTTCCTTAACTTATTTTCCTTAATTTAATTTTTTTTTTGCCTAACCCTAAATTGTGTGCAAGTAATTTTAATAATGTAGTACATAAATTGTTTTAAAAACAGTATTTTCACTTATTGAAGGACAAAAGTTACTTTACAAACCATTGATTTGAACCAACTTTATTAATATGTACGTTATTTATAGTTTTAAAATTTTCCCTTTGATATTTTATAAGTGTTCACTAATCGAACTGGAAATGAATCAATCAAAAAAGTTATACGCTGCTTATCTTAATTTAATTAATAAAAGTTTTTAATTTAAGAAAACATTTTTTTAAAGTATAGTGAATAGCTGCAATAAGATGAATGTCTTATATACATACGTACATACATAACATCAAAACATACAATATGACTTTTACGAAGCATGTGCACATACACGAATTAGGTACATTGGCTATAATCAAACTATTTAATTAAATTTGAATCATAAATAATTTATTTTAAGAATTTTATACAGTTTAGAACAATAAATTGATTTAGTCATGTTTCTTGATAGGTATTTTTAGCAAGCTATAAATTCTTGAAATCAATCAATTTAAATGCAATACAAAATTCAATTAATTCAGATCTATTTAATTTGCATAAAAATAAATTTCTCAGATTAACAAATTTTTTTATTATAATGTACATACATATATACATTTATCAAAGCATGGTTTAATGGTCTAATGCCTAATCTTAATACTACACATAACAAGAAGATACACTATGGGCATCGGCCTATACACATGCATTCAATTTATTGATAATTTTTAAAATCTTTAAGATTTTAAAATTTTCTATGAACAGATATGTGCATGTGTACATATTTCATTTTAGATTTCATTTTAGTTTTTGTTGTTAGTTGAATTACTATATATTATTAGGTGAACTGGGTTAGACTGACGAGAATTGATTTTCTTCCAAAGCGTTGGAAACATATAATGTGTTTATAATGAGAGTGATGTTTTTCTTTTTCACTATTAGGATTGGGTAGTACGTTTAAAATGCCATTTTAACAATATTATGTTGCATAAATTTAAATAAATTATAAAAGCAAACAAAATATAAAGATGATTCTATACATAACATTAAAATTACAACTGGACTGAAATTTGAATTATATAGGAACAATATAATATCGTTGTTCTTAAAGAACAAACTGTAAGAAATGCATTTCAAACGTGCACGAAACATCTTTAGTGCCGGTTTCTTAACTAAATTTTTAAGAACCCAAATCTAGAAGAGAGTTTAAAATTCTATTTTACCAAGGTCGCCGCCACGAGAACGTTTTTAGTAAAAAAAAATTCCTGAAATATGTATAAATTTCAATTTTTTTCGTGCTCTATACGAGCAATTATTTAAATAACTAATTTTTATCAACCCCATTGCATATTTTTAAGTATAACTATATAGTAAAATTTTCATCTTCACTAATTATTTGAATTTACATTTTAGTTGTTCGTGGTTCATTCCCGAATTGAAATTCTTATATGTTCAGAGTTTCTTAAAACTTTTTTAATTAAAGTCCTCAATATAATCACGAAAATAATCCAGAAATAATTTCTACTTATAAACTTACTTGGAATGGTTTGCAAATACAATGGTATCTATCAAATCCATACAATGGTATTTATCAAATCCAAAAGCAATAACTTTACAAAACTTGATTGTTTCGTATTCTTTACATGTCTAAATTTCCATTCCTAAGTTTATCTTATTAAAGGTGAATTGGTTTGTTATCGTTTCTAACTTACTATTAAATACCTCTACATTTCCCAAAGATCATAATACACAATTATACAATAAAACCAAATGGAAACTACCATCAAATGAAAACTGCTATGAAAGCTGCTTTATTATATTGCACAATATAATTTTGACATCCCAAAACTTAAAACCTTTGTGATGTGTGAATAACTTTTGTCATCAAAGCATTAATTAAATATTTAAATTCTAATGGGATTTATTTTTTCCTAATGAATTTTGTTTTTTCTTTTTAATCAGCTTAAATAGCTTGTATATATTGAGAATTGAAAATTATTTAACTATCATTAACATAATGTTTGTTTAGTGGTTTATTAATTATTTAAAAATTTTTTCAGTTCTATAGCCTTGCCTTCTTTCAGAAAATACGTAATGAATTTCAGATATTGGTTCATTATATTGAACATTATTATTTGTTTACAAAAAGTGTAGATAATATTTAAACATTTAATTTTAAAAATAGTAAGTCTATTATACATATAAGTAAGGATAAATTAATTTTGGTATAATAGAAATATAATAGCTTTATAAATTACAAACGACATTTTAATTAAAATTTTGAAAGCTTTTCAAAAATAATTTTTCAAAAACAAAAAGAAAAATTTATATACATTAAAAATTTAATTAAATAGGTTAAAAAAATTTAAATAAAATAATATGAATTGTTGTTTATTTTATATTTATAAATGAAATAATGCGTTTGGAAGTTTTTAAAGAATTTTAAGAATGTCAATTGATGAACAAACCTATAAAAACTAGCTTTCTGAACAATACAAAACCCCAAATTTTGTTTAACAAAATATGTGAATTGTAAAAATGTGAAAGAGGGAAGAATATTATGTATAAAATAATATTATATGGTACTGTTTCCTTGTGTATGTATACAACAAAATGAAAGGTTTAATGTGAGTCTGATTAAAGTTTTGTATATGGAGATTTACATTATTACGTCAGACTTTATTCTAGATTTGATTTTAATTTTTTCCATATATGTACATATATGAAAACGTCACCTTAGGCACCCGAAATCACTTGGTTTTACACTTTAAAATTAATAATGAATTTGAGCATATGAGCCGCGAATATAAAAAAAAAACAATACAAAGAAAAGGGGTGTAAATAAGAAAAACAAAGTGCATGACATAATTATGTATACAATTTAATTAAACTTAGAAAAATACAGTTTATTAGTTTTTTACAAAAATATTTCAGTAAATGCACATTATTTGTAATTATAATAAACCCAAATAAACCAAGTTTATTTGACAAATGTCAGAATCGGAAATCTTGACCGTATTGTAAACTCTAATGTAAATATAATGAACCTGAACTATAAACTATAATGAACCTGACGAAGTTCTCGCTTGATATGGATAATTATTTAGAAAATATTCGTGTTTTGCAATTCTGAATGATAACAAATTAAAGTATTACTGCGGTTACTAAGAATGCTTTGTGGAACATTAAAAAATTTTACATACATATTATAAAATCTTGCTTCAATAGAGAACTTACTTTTCCTTAGTTGTAATACATCATTAACTTTCGTAGCCATTAAATAAATTCTTTTTATTAAATTTCAAGTGTACTAAAACATTTTTATTCTATTATTTCAGAGATCTTCAAGGCAATAACATAACTGTTATATTTGAATCGGACTTTCAAAACCTTCCGAAACTTAGGATTCTGTAAGTTTATTTTATTATTTTTATTATAATTAATTTAAAACTATAAATTGATTTATTTATATTAATAAAAAAAGGGCAAATTATTCATTAGAAAAAGTCAAAATATTTAATTGGAACACTACTGTTCATTAGTGATACTTAAAGTATTTCTCTGATTCTAAAATTAAAAAAATAGTTAGCACTTGTAATTATTGATAAAATCACCATCATATTGAAAATAATTATCAGAAGTACATCTCTATAGAGTTATTCAATTGTTGCGATTGAAGTTCTGTTAAAAAACTTGATTTAAATAATTGTGTAATTGTTGTGGTTATATGTTTTGAAGTTGATTAACAAATTTTTAACTAAACAAAGGCGACTTATCCAATTTTGAGGGAAAAAATAGACCTGGTTAATTAACTATAATTCGAGGCACAATTATTTCATCCACTCCTTGATAGCACTTTCATACTGACTCACTAGTATCCAATTCCATTAAGATGAACTTTTGAGGTTAAGCTAGTTTTTATTTACTGCGATTGTTTTCTTTTCCTTTTTTTGATGCCAACGTAAGCAAGTTGAAAAGTTGAAAAAGTCAGTAGTAATGAAGTTTTGATAGACCTGGATAGTTATGAGCATAGTAAAATTTTAAAAAATGAATTTACAAAAATACTAGGTTCAGATTACAGTGTAAGTGATACTAAACTAAAAAGAGTGAAAATTAACTATGTCGAAGATTGATACGATTCTGATAATGCCTTACTAGACGGTTAATTATTTCAAAATTCCCATCCTGACAAGGATGATCATATTCAATTTGTACAAATCAAAGAAACCTTTAATTAACCACAGTCAATCCACGTTCAATAACATAACAATTGATGGAAGAAGTGATATATCGAAGAAGCCACCAAGAAGCAGGCCTCAAAAACACCTGAAAAGTTTGATACCAAGTATCCAGACGAGTATCTCCACACCAGCTGAATGGCTGATTGGGATAATTCATTTACTTTGTTTTCTATTTTGGCATACTGTTTGATAGTACAAATGTAGTATATAAGAAATGTTGATAAATAAATAGATAAATAAATAAACATTGAACATTTATTGTACATTTTGGTCAACTTTGAACATTATATAGCACGCATAAACATGTATATAGTTATTCAGATATTGTGGGTGATCTTATCAACACACTATTTATACATACATCTAAATATAAATTAATATCTAAGTATAAATTAAAATTAGGTAGACACTATTAGTTGAAATAAGTTGGGGTCAAACTTATAATGGCTTGTAAAGTAAAAGTTTTCTGTTCAACAAGTTAAAACTCTGCGGTTAAAAATAATATCTTACATTATTTATTTAAATCAGTTTCATTGAAATACTAAAATAATTAAGTATGAAACAAAAAAAAATTAAAAGAAGCACTGACATAATGGTCGAATGCAAGGGTTAATTGCGTGAATCAAGAAAAAAAATTATATTTTGTGATGGCATGGCAATTACCCTAAGCTTTCTGCATTTACAGACATTTTTTAAAAAATTTGCAATTTCGGAATTATAAGGCGTTCAAATTCAAATTTTACCAACTTCAGAAGACGATAACTTGAGAGAGGATGAGGATGAAAAAAAATATTCTTCTAAGGAAATAACTAATTTCTAAAAGCTGGCAAAATTTCAGAGGCTTAAACTTAAACGTCTAGAAGAAAAGAAAATGAAAGCTTTGAAAAAAAACGTTTTTTAGATAACGCTTAATTTTAACACTCATTTTGTAATTTCAATATTATGGCCTATGCTATGCCGGAAAAAAGGTGTAGAAGTTTTGTAAAGAGACACTCGGGCGGATGAATGGACTTTTTGAAACTTATATGACTTTTTTTTGGAAAACTACTAAGAAGTGTACTAAAACTTTTTAGAATTCGGCACTTTTTTTTGCATTACATTAATTTCTTTATCTTTAGGAAAAGAATAGCCAATGTGAATAGTGTTCTAAAACCGAGAAATAAAAAATAAAATGTTTTTTTTTCAGTGCTGTTAAGAATTTCAATATAACTACAATTATTTTAACTTGTTTTTTTACCTAATGCGAAAGCGATTTATTCCATCTGGGTTCCCAATCAATGTAAAGAAGTTTCCAATATCCAAAAAAGAATAAAAAAATTATTTTAATTTTAAGTATTTACCTAACTACTATTATTGTAAAAATTTGCGTTAATAAAAATTTAGCGAAAGATAAATATTTTGTAGAATACGTGAAAAATAAGTGCATTACGTAATTGAAAATTAAACCTATTGCTTAGCTTTTCTCGAAAAGTTTCAAAAAACAACGTAAACTACTTTTATCAACATGAATTTATTCAAGTTTAGGATTTGAGTGAAAAGAATGCTCAGATTTTCAACTAAAAATATTTGTTGGGCGGAATATAATTTATTTGAAAAAATTTGAAAATGTGAATATATTCCAAATTTATAAAATAGCGATTGTTTTAAGTTCTTTAAAATAAAATTTAAATATTTATTAAAATAAATAATCAAATTGCAATTTATAAAAAAAGACAACAATTTATAATAATTTTAGTCTTTCAGTTTATTAGAAATTTCCAAAGTTAGTTAAACGTTCCTTATTATTGTTAAATAACCTTTTTTAAATTGTTAAATAACATTTTTTGAGGCATATAGACATACATAAAAATTTTTAAACTTTATACATTCACAAATAACTAAAAAAGAATATTTTGCTTTAAAAAATTTTAAGAACTTTAAATATTTCACAAATAAAATGTTACACAAAGAAGTGTTCATACATATAAACATAAATTCAATAGTTCATACATTAGTTAAACATAATGAAATATTATTAAACATAATATATATTTTATCTCAGGCCTTAAGTAAAATTTATCTGGAAATACTTTTTACAAGCACTTACATATAAAAATGAAATTATTCTTGTTTTGTTTAAAAACTTCGGAATTTGAAAAATGTTTCTGAAGATAAGAGAAAAGTTCGTTTTATATAAAACACCAAAATCTTCATGAAAAATTTACAACCAATTTAATAAAGAATTTCTGAAATTTAATAGCATTCTATGATGCTGTGCTATATACTTGAGGCTGTAAATAAATTTATTAATTAAATTTCATAACCTTTTTAAATTCTCTTTTGAAAATAATTGTACCAATTTCATACATACACTCTAAAAAAAATTTGTTGAATTTTACTACAATTATTGTAGGCAACCAATTTACAACAGTCACTGTAGTAAAAATACAACGCTGTAGTAAAATTAAACAAGGAATAGTATATTTACATTTATTTTGTTTAAAATTTTTACAACAATTATTATAGTAGTAATAAACATCAATTGTAGTGAATTTACTCAGGAAATTGTGTAATATTATACTATAACGACGTATTTTTACTATAATTATTGCAGTAGTTATAAACTATTAATTGAGTAAAATTACTCTCGCCATTGGAATTTTACGCATAGACTTGTTGAATTTCCCACATAAGCTGTGTAATTTTATACTAAAATAAAAATTTCACTGCTAATTTACAAATGAAACTACTTTACCGACGTTTGCAATTATAAAATTAATTGATTGAGTTTATATTGAAAATCGTAAAGAAGAATATTTCAGTGTATTTTTATGGTGGGTTTATATATTTATATATATATTATTGCATACATCAGCATATTATATGCATTATTATATAACTTTTAATTAACATCTGAAATTTTCTTATATTTTTTGATAGCATTCATTCAATCAAATTTTATAATTGCAATTGTCTGTTAAGTCGTTTCACTTGTAATTTAACAATTTATTTTTATTTTACATAAAACTGCACAAAATTTTTTTAACCTTAAGATTATGAGTATGGACACAATTTATATAAAATATAAAACATAATAACTTTTTATTGTGCAGTTTATCTTTATTAATTCAAAATTTACTTCTTATACTTTATACATACATACTCAACACATATGCATAAGTCACAATCTGTACACTTCTGTTTTTCTATTTTTTAACAGGTAAACATAATTTATATTTGCAAAATTAATAACAAGCCCTAAATTTTCAAGCCCATTATTTTGTCGTCTAAAAATATAATCTTTATATTTTACATAACCAACAATTTATATATTTTAAGAACCTTTTTTCACATTACTAAACTCATTAAAAAAATATATAACGTACAAATGTTAAATTATTATTTTTGTTATTCTATTATTATAGAAATGCAATTTATATTTAACTAAGTTTCCAATAAAATTTTTAAGCACATTGCATTTGTTTATCATTATAAGTATCATATCAAGTAAGTAAATTATTATCATTGTTATAATAATATTGATGTACATTTTTTGTGTTAAAACATAAAAAACAGTTATAATCTCTATCAACAGATCCAAAATTTCTGGATTCTCATGGAATGCAACTGCAGATTTTTCCAAAACAATGTACTCCATTTTCTTCTCTACGGATGTACATATCTACAAATTAGAAATTAAATAAGAATTATGTTTTGTTAAAATTGAAGAATACGTTTCTCGAAATTCCTCATAGTTTTGTGGTGAACTTTTTAATTTTTTATAATATAATAATATTTAGATTTATCAACTTACCATGATTGCTATCCATGTCCATTAAGTTGGGGATGATTCGATCATTTCGTCTAAAGTAGTGCCAAGCTAAAACACAAATTAGATTACATAGATAAGATAAAAGTTCGATAATAATGACTTTTATATTTAAATATAAAAGTTTTGCTTATAAATAAAAAATTTTTTTTCACCCCATACTCACCTCAAACTTTTTGTAAAACAAATTTTGATCCTCTTTAAAATGCATTATTACACATATAATTTTTTCATCATTTATTTCATTTGCAAAAAAGAAGCTTTTTATTGTTTTGTTTTGCATAAAGTGTTCATAATGCACTGGATTCTCAGATGAAAATTGTTTTTAAAATTTCGGGTTTAGATTGGTTAATTCTGTAAA